TTTGCAGCTTGCTGACCAACCGCACTAAATGTGAAGTCCTCAATGGAGGGAAGCACGCAGTAGAGTACCACAAAGTTCTGTCTTGGACCCAGTACTCTTCAACATCTTCATAATCTGATGAGAGGATAAAAGGAGAGCTCCTTTAATTTGCAGATGACACCATACTGGAGGAATAGCCAACATGCTAGAAGATGGGTGAATTCCACTATGTATTTTTTTGAGGACATCGGCTATATTTTTTTTCCTTTGGATTCTTTTTTAAGGAAGTGAGATGGGTGGACCTATCAATTGTTTCAACCAACCAACCAATCACCCACCATCATAGATCAGATAAAAAGTCTGTAGTAATTACCTAAATACTTCCACACAAAACAGAGGTCCCGTGTTCCTGTTATTACTCAGAAGGTGGTATTTAAGGCAAGTTGCTATCTGGAATAGTGAAAGTAACTAAACCATCAAGGCTAGTTGCTGCTGATTCTACTGCCCTTTATATTCTTATTCTTTTAAAATTTACTAAAATTTACACTCCAATATATCTGAATATATCAAGCTGTGCTAGGTTTAACCTACTGGAAAGTAAGCATGCATAAAGATTATAACTGAATAGTCCCAATTTTCATAAATGTTTGAAACGGAATATAACCAGTAAGAGAAAAACAAGACAAACAAAGCCATGAATTCATAGATGACCAGGTTGAGCCTGAGGGAGGGGTCAAAGGCATCATCAGTATTGAGTCCCTTCACACCCACAAGAAATCTAAGTTCAGTCCACCTTGAATTCCATTGACTCTTATCTACCATCAATTTGCTTTGACCATCAGTAATTCAGATTCTTATAGAGAGCATAAGCTTGTAATATGCCTTTATATTCATTTGAACTCCCTGGACTTCTGATTTCCCGCACTTAGCAGAATGTGCCCTCCATCCATTATAACTACAGTATATTCCTCATAATGTTCTCCAAGAAATTAATTGGATGCAACAAACTCCAAACTGGTGGCATTATTCTTACACTTTGTGGAATTCTACATCTCCTCAAACCTATCCAAAAAAAGAAACAAAATAGATCCAAATCTGGGATTTTACAGGAATTTTAATATTAAACTATTCAAATGTGTTGTCTAGACCATCAGAGACAATTTTGTACAGATGAGTCAGCTATCTGTAAGGTACAGTATCACCAATAATAACCCGTTTGTCAAGAAATATATCCACAGTCAATTACCTTAATTATGTATTAATATCAAAGGAGAGGTAGATGGGTAAGCTGGTGAGATGTTATTACTCTTTTTTTAAGAGGAAGAAATGGAACTGGCAAGTCTGAAGAGTCTAGCTGGGAATATATTTTGATTGTCTTGTAGAAGGGGGATGAGGAAGACAGTAAAATATCTTGGAACCATATAATTAACAACACTGCACATTTATTCATTTATGAAATTTGTCTACATCCTAAAACTATCTAGATCCTAGCACCTTGCCAAATTCACAGAGTGAAAATTCAGTATAGAATAAGAGTTAATTAAAATAGCAATTCTAATTCACAATTCAGCTAATACTATAAGTAATGATGGAAAATGGGATTGCTGGGTACAATTAATCTTCAAAGACCCTCTGGAAGTGCTTCACCTGCTGTCAGGACGCCTCAAATGTATTTGTCTCCACCTCACCTCTTTCATTTATTCCTTCCCTGCTTGAGCTTATGTATTCATTTTCAGGGCCTGCCATTCTGTTGGAGTGGGGTGCTTGCATGGGGAGGGGGAATGTTATCTGCTTTGCTCTGCTCTGTACGGGGTGCCCTCCCTCTGGGTGAGAGGAATGTGAACTGAAAACATATGCCTTATCTCCAGACAATGGAACCTAGGACCATTGGGAAATGGAACCGAGAGAGAGACCTTGAGAAGCTGGCTAAATCTCCAGATTCTCATAACAAGCTGACACCTGTGGATTGATTGGATTTCAACCAGACAGTTGGACATGGGGTGAGGGGTAGGAGTCCTGAATTTCCTTTTTTATGTAATCCTTTACATGCTAAATATTTAGCCCTTGCTTTGGTCTCTTGCCATCACTAACTCAATAAAAAGTTCCTTCTGGGACAATGCCTGTTTCAAGAGTTCTGCTTTCTTGGGAGATCTAGTTGAGGCAGGTCAATGTCTTGCATACACATCTAGTATTTGGCTAAATGTTATGTGCTCCTAAAGCGTCTTGTAAGGAAAGAACCCTCAGAGGGATTTAAGGCATTTCATTTTCATTTTCATTTTATTAAATTTATACCCCGCCCTTCTCCCGGAGGACTCAGGGCGGCTTACAGCCAGTTTAAAAACAATAATACAATACCATACAAATTTAAAAATGATTAAAAATAAATATTTGAATAGGCCGCTTCTACTAAAATTTTGTTAAAACCAATTAAAATACCCCTAGGCCAGTCCTGCCCGCTGAAA